TTGTTGGCGCCTGGGGTGGTGCCGATGCCTCAGGCTGCTTCTTATCGTCGTCAGACATTATCTGCAGGACACAAACAAATGCCATCGGGTACTATCGGATGTGTCCGCTTCACCTCGCCCGATCTGACCCAGTAGTAAGACGGGAAGACACTCGGTGACGTTTGATTATAGGCAATTCCTTGAACTTGAGCTGCAGCTTTCAAGTTACAAGAGGAGAGCGCACGACCCCCTAGTTTAACCTTCCCCGGCAGAAGGTAAGGCGCTATTGCACGGACTCCACTGGGCTCCTTTCGGCGTATATACGACTTCACCGAGTCCTGCTTAGCTCCTAAATCAAACGTCCCGGTCACGGAGGAAGCCTCCGGCGAAATATAGTCCTAATGACACATATTTCCCAACGACACACTAGTCCCGATCGGCTCTAACATTCTAACTAACTGCACCTGCAGATAATGACTCACTTAGACACCACTAAATCTGGACGGCAATCCACCAGCCCCTTACATCCTCCAATGTCACACCCGCAAACAGCATCCTGCTGTTGCCGACAGGGCCACAATAACACCTGGTTTCATGTAGAAGCTCCAGGACCACCGATACTGTACTGCTCCCGACCACCATTTTGGACTCTAATTTCACAGCACCACGCTTCCACGACTGATCAGGCACCACAGTCGGATGTATGACTGCCAGAGCCACACAAGCCGACACTCTTCTTTGAGACAAGACAACACCGGCACAGTTTACGTTGTTCTGTTACGGGACCGGCTAGCCACTGTAAGCACAAACCTCACCACCAATCAGGAATCCAGGAGAAAACACTCACACCAATCACAAAGCCGTTATGAGGCGTCCCAAGGTTACCGTCACTGGGTCAGTCGGCCGCCCAGTCTACACAACGTCGGGACCCGTGAAAGGGAAAGGAACACCTCAGCTGGGGCGGTGTGCGAGCGGCCGATGGAGACCTTTGTCGGACAACAGAAGAAAAAGGTGCTTTAAATTTGAAATTAAACATCAGCTCAATTAATTTTGAATGGAGACAGTAACAGAACACCAATTCTTTAATTTCTATTAAAATTAGCCACAGCATCCCTAAAATTTAGAAGGTTCGCCGTTCGGTTAAAAACGGAAGCCATTAAATGACAAAGTCAATTCAATAACTCTATCCCACTTCTGACACCAGTGTGAAAATATGTTTCATCCTACCTACTTGTTTGGATGTGTGGCTCTGCAATTAGTCTACTATCCAGCGCTAGTCCGACTCTCCATCGCCTCAGCCCCCGCTCAGCACCGCCCCACAGACAGCGTTTACACATAGAGGTGTTATTATTGAGGATAGGGAAAACACAGATCCACACTCACTACTGATCTCATACTCTCCTCTCAACTACTCTCCTCTAATCCCAACCAGCGCGCCATAGCCAGCGCGGCTGGTTGAACCCGTGTACTTACATCTCAAGCACTGTCCCTGACACTGTGCACGCCAGACACAATCACTGCGAGCGCCCAGCGGCCGTCGGGGTCTCGGCCGACCGGTCGAGATGACCGGAGACTGCGCCTGGAGTCTGGTGACCGGAGACTGGAACTGGAACTGTAGACTCCCTGCTGGAGTCTCCGACTGGAGCCTCCCCACTGGAGACGACTCCCTCTCTGGTAGTGGTGACTGGAGACGACTGAACTGACGTAGCACCGAGCGCACGCTTTTTATATGGCGGTGCCACGGCCAGCCTCGCCCCCTCCCCAGTTCGCCGTCGGGAGGAGGCCCACGTGACACCACCGTCGAGCTGAGCTGGTCCAGGGCGGGGTCGCCTCAGGCCCTCGGCACCCCCGCCCCGTACGTCCCCACCCCGGGCGCTCCTCGTCGGCCGTGACTCGCCCCACCGCGCGGGCTGGCTGCACCGCTGCCCCGGGCGCCGTCGCCGGGCTGCCGTGCCCTTGGTCCACTTTGCCAGGGTCGGCTGGTCCTGAGCCGGCTCCGGCGAGCTGCGGCTTTGCCTCCGGCGTCGCCGTCAGGCCGACCCAGCCTTGGCCGCTCGTTCCGGGTGCTGGCGGCCCCGCGGCTCGGAGTGGCGATGTGAGGGCTGGCCGGTATCTCCAGTTTTCCACAACCCAATACAAGACTCAACAGCCTGGCGAACGAACTCGGGGCACCACTGAGGCCATATGGGCACGTTGTGTATTGCCAAAGCCCAAACGGCAGCGTGATGGACGTTTTGGATCGATCCTCCTTTCGGATGCTCATCTGGTTGTACCCGCTTTTTAGATCGAGCACCGAAAACAAAGAGTTACCTCCCAGGCTGTCAAGAAGGACATCAACCCTTGGGATTGGAAAGGCTGGCACCTGGCACACGCGGTTAAGTTTTCGAAAATCCCCACAAATTCGCACAGAACCGTCTCTTTTCTTCACCAGGACTACCGGTGATGACCAAGTGCCATCAGACGGCTCCAGCACCCCCTGATCTACCATATCCTGCACGCGCTGCTTTACTTCTGTCTCCAGGTGTGGGGGAATTCGTCTGGGAGCTGATCGCACCGGCTTGGCAGTGCCCGTGTCGATTACGTGCTCAACTAGTGAGCAGTGACCAAGCTGGTCTGAGAACAACGAGGGGTACCGGCGCAACAGAGCAAAGAACTTTTCCCGCTGCTGACTCGTTAGCGACACATCAGACAGATCGACCAAATCCTCCAAGGAACCCGCGCCAGAGCTGGGACCATTTGACACCCCATTGTCTGCATCATTCCCCTCCCCTTCAATGGAGAAGTCGGCTTCCATTGATCCTAGGCCCTTGCCCTTAGACACCGAGACCGATGATGACGTCACGTTACGCACCACGACCGGAACACTGCCGCCCGGCTTCACATCAACCAGTCCGTCCAGGAACGTCAACCCACTGACTGCGACGTCGGCAATGAACACAGCCTCTCCCTCAAAATCAGCATCATCGACATGGCCGGGGATCACAACCTCACAGTTTGGGGGTATAGCGTACGTTTCCTGTACAGACACCCTGCACACACGAGTCGTCGGTCGCTCAGGCAACACCGTGGCGACCGGCTGACGGTTCACCTGGTTTGCAGGTGTCAGCTGCTTCGTCGATAAGTCAAGAACAAACGGGTACTGCGCGAAAAAATCCATGCCCAGGAGGCAGTCGATGGGACCGATTTCGTCGGATACAAACACAGAGAGCGGGTATGACACATTATCGATAACAAAATGCACTGCACACCGACCGAGCAGACGCAACGGCTGTTGAGTTGCAGTTTTAGCGGTGACGTCACAACGTTGTAGCTGGGGACGCGCTGAAATCTGATCATAAATCCGCCTGTGAACTATTGTTATAGCACTTCCTGTATCCACAACAAGCTGCGCTGGCACCTTACTAACCTTTGCCTTGACCGTAATGTCCGACGCCGATGCAGCGCAGTTATTCAAAACTCTCGGTCCCGGCGGCCGAGTGACCGGGGAGCGCGCGCGCCGCCCTGAGCGCCCTCCCCTCCGGCGTTTCCCGAGAGGCGGCACGTGCGCTGAACATGGCCCACCTTCCCACAGGCAAAGCACCTGGCTAGACGGAAACGACAATCTGGTTTCCCGTGACCCGTCTCCCCACAACACAGACATATGGGCATTGACACGTCACACTCCTGTCGTCCCCGGGCCCGGTCATGCCTCATCTGTCCCATCCGGTTAGTAGCAGCCAGCTGCAACTCCAGCTGCCCAATGCGGCGCAGAATTTGCTCCAGCACTGATGGTTCTGCAGCCTCGCCTCCCACTTTACGCACCCCCGGTCGCTCTGAGTCCGATCCGGCCGGCCCAGCCTCCGCCTGGTCGGGGGCGGGCTCGGACCGGGCGCCATCGCCGCCCACTGCACACACGCGCTGTCCCTGGCCCACCGGTCCCCGAGACAGACGATCAGCAGCCAGCACGTTTTGCACACTTTTTACGGCTGCATCAAAGGTCACAGATCCCAAAGACACCACTGCATGAGCCAACCGCTGAGGCAAGGCGGCCAGGAAATAGTGAAAGAGATGCGTATCAGGCGAGTGGGCGCCAAACACGGCAGTGACCAGGCCGCGCAGCTGAACAATGAAGGTGTCCAGTGACTGAGCCGTCGGGTCGAATTTGAGCGCCTGCAGCGCGCTGTGGCAGTCCAAGGCGCTAGCGTCCGGGAACACGGCTCCGAGACTGTCTAGCAGAGTGTCGATTGAGCCGTCAGCAGGACGCTCAAACGTGTCGAACGCCTCTCGGGCCGCTCCATCCAGACACAGCGGCAAACAGTTCAGAGTCGCCTCACCCGTGAACGACTGCACGGCACAAAAACTCTTAAAATCCTCTCGGAAACGACGAAATGACCCCCGACCGTCATACCTGGGTGGCGCGAAGTGAGCCATTTCCTCTTGAGATAATCACGACGTCGTCGTAAATCACTGCGTATCACTTGGGGCGTGAAAAAATCAAATGTTTATAAGCTCGCAGCTGATCGGTTCCGTGTCAAACAATTTATCAGGCCAAGACTGTTAGGCCAACACAACCCGGTTCGCAACCACAACCACCGCTGCCACCAATGTAAGACACCTCAGTCTTCAGATACAGCCTCCGGTCTTACTGCATGTCTCTGTATTCCTGTGTTCTCAGCTTGACCGAACACACAACACACAACCAGCCGCGCCTCCGGCCGCGCTCCACACACACACCCTTTGCCCAGCGCTCTGCTCTGCTCTGCTCGCGCGCCGACGCGCGACCGCTTCCCGCCACAGCCGGGAACACGATTTAGCCGTGCATCCTTCACGGCTCTCGGCCACTAAATAATATTATACCTACTTACAAATGCATTTTCAGATGCCCAATATTAAGAAATTTACAAAAGAAAATGGCTGAATCCTATTCAATGGCTTTGCGGCTTTCATGACTTGTTATCTTCTTTACGATGAGCCTGTGGCGATTCTGGCAGTGAGGTAGTTGCAGGTATAGACTTTTGCAGCATTTTAATGCTATCACGTGGTGCATTTTGTAGTAAAGGTAAAAACACATCCTTGACGTCGGCATTTTTCACGGAAAAGTGGCGCGGTGGTGTTTATTTTTCAGTCTGTATAAGGTAAGTTATTGCTAAAAGGGATTTTTTTTTCAACTAAAGAATTAATTTCATGTAGGTGAACTACTGTAAAAGACACATCTTATGTGTAATCGCCTCGCCATTGTATTTGCATGAATGCATTGTCGAAGGGAAGAGTTTCAATTCAATTCTGTTTTGCCTTGATTTCCGACTTTCTGTATGTTAACTAGTGATTACAAAGGACCATCGTAACATCCCTAAGTCGACACCTCCTCATTTTCATTCACAACTTTGGCTTTTGTTATGTAATGCTGACAGGGGCGGATCCAGGAATTTTCGGGAGGGGGGGCGGCAAGTCAAAATAGGGGCGACCTGGCAATCGGGGGGCGCTCCATAGTCGTACAAAGGGGGCGCCAAACCGTCAAAATCGGGAACTAAAAGCCCGCGCCGTGCTAGGGGGGCGTTATCGCGTTCCCCCTCAGGTTTTCGCAAATATCTGAAAAACGGCTGCGCGCAGCGCCGCCATTTTCAGCATACCTTATCATGCATCTTTTTTGCACATGTTGTAAAAATGTCTGACGCGGGTGATGGAAGGTCAGGTCACCAGGTTATGCCAAGTGACCTAGCCTAAGAAAAGTTCAAATGCTTACCATTGCTATACCGAATGAATGATTGCTTTGAACCTTTCAGCGATTGATGAAAGCAACACTATTCATGAAACGTATATCTCGGAATTTCGATATCTTAAGGTCAGGTCAGTTGTGCGACGTCTCCATTAGGTAGGTAGGTATAATTAAGTCTTTGGGAGAAAACTGAAAGGCATCTCTTTTGGACGAGCGCCATTCTAGACAATATCAAGCATTGGGATACATATAAAATTAACACACTGAATAAGAACATTGCACCTAGTGTGACCACTCATTATATCCCAGAGGTCATCCCATGTCATGAAATGTCCGCAGCAGTTTTTTTAAATAACTTTTGATAGATTCAAGCTAGAGAGATAAAAACACCTCAGCTGTGTTCAGCTCGACGACACGCATCGACTGCTATGCAGCATGACCTTTCCCGGTCAGGTCATGACCTTGACCTGAGGTCAAATTCTCAAAATTACCTTTCATAAGGTCAACCTTTAGTTTGTTCGACGTGTCTCGACGACAGAAACGCAATGCTGGCAAACATAATGTCGAGACTCTCTTGAGTCAAAGTTATTGCAGGAAAACATTGTTCGTAAAAAGGCTATTTTTAGAGTCTTTTGCCCTCTGAAGGCTAAACCGTTGACCTGAGGTCAAGTCTGAGCGCAGCTTGCAGAAACACCTTTAAAAGGGCTATCGAATGCGCTTTTCTGCGGCGCTATAGCTCTATTGGTTTCCGAGTTATGTGCCGCTGCTTCGAAAACGGAAAATTTTTTGAAACAGGCAACATTTTACCTTTGATGACCTCTGGTGACCTGACATTCGACCTGACCTAAAAAAATGACCGTTTTGTTTTCGTCCTGTTTTTTGGCGATCTTTCGAATGCCGCTTATCGCGTGTCACTACGCGCCCCAGGAGCCGAGTTAGACGAGGGAGTGTGACCCCCCCCCCCCTCCCCAGCAGGACACGGAAAACTCAGACCACCAGCACGGCACGGGTTAAAAGTCGTAGATGGGCACCGCTACCCTAGCAAAAGATATTAGCAAAAAGGTGGCCTCCATTTACTGGTGCAGTCCTTCTTCTCCCGGTGATGCCCCCTCCTTTTTCTGGAAGCGTCTCACTTATGCTGGTATGCCCCACTTCCCGGGGGCGCCAAACCTCTGCTTGGATCGCCTAATCCATTATGGAGAGACCCACTTTGCTTAAGTCGCCTCATTTCTTCCTTCTAAGAACGACCAATTTGCTGTAGGCGGCCCACTTATCTGGGACGCCCATTTTCTGCTAGAAGTGCCCCTCTTCTTCCTGATGCGTCCCACTTCTACTACGAGTGCACCTTTTCTGTTAGGGCGCCCCTTTGCTGCTGAGGAGTCTTTTTTCTGCTGTGAATAGGGCGGCCCTCTCCTGTTGGGCGACCCCAAATTCTGCTGGAGGCGCCCCACTTCTGCCCAACTTTTGGTGGGGTGCCCCTCTCTTGCAGGGGGCACTTCTCTTTTGCTGGAGACGCCACTCTTGTGGGGACGCCCTTCCACTGCGGGGAACGTCTCTCTTCTGCCAGAGGCACCCCTTTTCTTCTTATGGGGCTCCTGTTTTTTTTTTTCTGGGGCGAGGCGACCCTCTGCTGCTCGGAACGGGGCACGCCTCTCCTTTTACTGGGGCACCTCCCCTCTGCTGAGGTTGCCCTTCCGCTGTCGTCAGGGGCGCCCCTCTTGGTAGAATATACTCCTTTTCTTTTTGTAATGGGGCGCCCCTCTTCTACCGGGGGCGCCCATCTGCTGCTGGGGCGTCTGTCTTCTGCCGGATATTGTCAATGGGGCACCCATATCCTGTTTGGCGGGCCCAAACTCTGCTGGAGGCTCCCCATTTCTGATTAACTTTTGCTGTGGCGCCTCTTCTGCTGGGGCGCCCCTCTTCTGCTTGGGGCGCCCGTCTCCTGCTGGAGACCCCTCTCTTCTGCTGGGGCGCCCGTCTTCTGCCAGTGGCACCCATTTTCTTATTATGGGGCTCCTTTTTTGCTGGGGCGCCCAGCTGCTGTCAGGGCGCCCCTCGTCTCGGAATGGGGGCGCCTCTCTCCTTTTGCTGGGGCGTCGCTCCTCTTCAGGGGGACACGTCTCCTGCTAAGGGTGCCCTTCCGCTGCCAGGGGCGCCCCTCTTGAACAGAAGGTATTTTATATTCTTGTAACGAGACGCCCTCTTCTGCTGGGGGCGCCCATCTGCTGCTGGGGCGACTCTCATCTGCTGGGAATAGGCAATTGGGCGTCACTCTCCTGCTTGGTGAGCCCAACTTCTGCTGGAGGCGCCCTATTTCTGCTGAACCTTTGCTGTGTCGCCGCTCTTCTGCTCGGGGCGCCCTCTCTGCCGCGGGATATGGGCGCCTTTTTCGGATGGCGGGGGGGGGGGGGCGGCCGCCCCCGTCGCCCCCCCCCTGGATCCGCGCCTGAATGCTGATGCTCATGATAAAAAACATGAATTGAGCTTCAATCTTCATCCTGATCCGAAAAGCTGGAAGATTGCATGTTTGATTCTTGAGCCATCAAACTTGACCACCCACCCCTATGTGTGTCACCAGGTGATGGCCTCCCGCCAGGGCTTGTCGCTGTTCGTCGGAAACCTGCCGTGGACAGTGAGCACCCGCGAGCTGCGCTCCTACGTCTCCCAGTTTGGGCCCGTCGCCTGGGCACGTGTGGTCTTCGACCCCAAGACTGGTCTGAGCAAGGTATGCTGATTATTTGGAAAACTCACTTATCTTTTGATACCACAAAGACTGATGAACCTTTTCCTATTCGCAGATGGTTTCCAGGTTTTGCTAAGTTAGAATCTGATTGCATTTGTAATTATGAATCTTTGTCAGTCTGAAATCTAAATCTATCTGAATGAATGTACCTATGTTAAACATTTTTTGTTTAATTGATCAGAGTGCATATCCTGCTGTTAGTCAAACATGTTTGATTTTGTAATGTCTCACAACAGTTGGGAAAGATTATTTAGTTTGCAGTGCACCACTTATTTTGTGTGGCCTAATTTTCTTACCAGATTTTAAGTGATATCTTCTTTTGCTTGCCCATAGACTAATTGAGAACTTGTTAAACTGTTCTCCAATCTTTGCAACCAAGTGTGTTTTGTTGCTTAGGAGTCATTTTACACCTGTCTCTGTTTCCTGTTTTGCAGGGCTATGGCTTTGTGACCATGAAGACCCGCGAGAGCTTCAACGCGTTCATCAACAAACCGGGCCACGTCTTGGAGGGCTCCCATCTATCGGTCAGCGAACGGAAGGGCCCCGGCTCGGAATAGGACGCGCTGAATAGTAGGAAGTAGAAACATAACCCGCTAGTGCGCGGTGCGTGTGATAGTGCTGCCACCTGTGACCATCTGTGAACTATTAGTACGATTTTCCAACGCTAGTCGCCGCCACCATTAACCATGGGCGACCTAGAAAAGGAGATGATCTCCGAAGCGTTCGACGACGCGGCGCGCTGCGTGGAGCTCCTCGCCTCTTCCGGTCGCCTGCCGGACGACGATCTTCTCAGACTATACGCGTGTTACAAGCAGGCCACCTGCGGCGAATGTCGCGGCCAGAGACCGGGCCTGTTCAGCCTCTCCGCACGGCGCAAATTCGACGCCTGGAAATCCCTGGGCGAGATGACGGAACTCGAGGCGAAGCGGCGCTATGTGGAGATCCTCACCGAGCTGCAGCCCAACTGGATGTCTGGCGGGGACGCAGAAACCGTCGGCCAGCCGCGGGGACTTGGTATTGCCGTCTCGACTCCAGTCCGCGCTGAGGAAGATGGCGCCACGGTCGGCGATGACGCGTCCCCTCTGGATCTGGTAAAGGCGGGGAGGTGTGATCTACTATCCCAACGGACGACTTTCGACTGCGAGTCGGCTGACGGAGACGGTCTGCGTCTTCTTCACTGGGCTTCCGACCGAGGTCATGTCGACATAGTTCGTCTGCTGCTCACCAGAGGCGCCACTGTCGACTGCCGTGACGCGGACGGACAGACGCCGCTTCACTACGCGGCTAGCTGCGGGCACACTGAGGTCGCGAGCGTGCTCCTGGAGGCGGGGGCTGACCCGAAGGTGACCGACACGGACGGAGTGACGCCGGCGGAGGGGGCGGAGGGAGAGGTCAGGTCACTGCTGGACCAGGCGGGCAAAACGTGAGGTCAGGATGAACCGTGAGGTCAGGGGTCACGTGAGGTCTGCTCGGCGGTGGACAGTTCCTCGGACAGTCGCTGTGTTCGTCGGATTCAGCGGACTTGATATTGAAATGGAATGAACTTTTTGTTAGATATTCAAACAGGTCAGATGCCCCTTTTGTTACAAACCTTTCTGAAGTAAAGTGAGCCACGTGATGAAAGATTGGTGTTTATGAATAAACTGCCAACACCATTTCCAATTGATGTCACCATTTGCTCGTCGTGAGTGTAATTTGTAAGCGAGACTGGCAGATTTGAAATGATTTCGTGTGCTGCCGTCATCTCCAGTGTGAATGTTGTTTTTGTTTGTGATGTGTGTGCGCCAATCAGATGTGATTCAAGCAAATGGTGCCATGTCTGATGATTGAAGGGGCAATACATGTTTGAATTGAACTACCTGCAATCTTTGGTGACGTATCTCTTCAGATTAAACTGACTAGCTGTGTCTGGCCACGATCACAGTATATTATCTCACTGAAGGGAATCAGACAGGTGGTAGATAGGTTTGCCTTACGAGAGAACATACCAATGGTGCGCAAATGTTGGCTACTAGGCGGAAACATTACTTTTTATTCTATTCTCCGGTTTAGCCCATTCGGCTGGTGGTCACCTCCCGGCTCCGATCTGTTTGTTTACGGCTCACTAGAGGCAAATTTCTACCCATCAGAAAGCAATGAAGCGACTTTCCTTTTAGGTCAGACCCGGCTAAACCCAGCAGTCAGTCCTACATATATTGTCATGCAAGTTCATGAATGCCACACAGGCACACACTATCTGCGCCCCAGCGGCGCGTTTGGTAAAATAGGCACCTTTCTACGGTCACTTTCAGCACTCAATAGTTACAACCATCACTGAGACAATATCCTATATACGGCCTTGATTATGCATAAGCATGGACGTCATCACAGGCTACATAATAGGCACACAAACCAATTACTTGGCAGTCTCACATAAAGAACTCCACATCTCTAACAGCTGATAGGGAATATCAATAAATAGAATTAGTGTTCACGGTCTTTGATAAAAACATAGGCTTTACGTATTCATGTCGCGAGTAAGACCCACTATGATTCGTTGGCGGATAGACTGAGACAACACGAGACCATTATTTGCGAAAGCACGCCGCGTGGCATCAGATCAGCCCAGTTCATTGTGGGGATGCCACACGCGGGGAGAATGACACTAGCAGCTAGCGCTAGTAGCCATTCGCGACTCAGCTAGAACGCATGCTGCAGAGATCAGGCACCACAACCATCACCTTGATACTGAGAGCTGTCGCTTAGCCCAAACTCTCGTTAGTTTTCAGGTGGTGAGAGAGCCAGCTCTCACCGCTCAACAATTAGTTCATCGCTCATCACTCGGTGTTCACTGCTCCAACAGCTCGAAACTCGCCGCTCTAACAGCTCAGAGCTCACCGGCTAATCGGCCTACCGAGCGTACCTGGTCACTGTTCAGTACATCGATTTGATGCAGAGCCAAGTTTTACCCATCGACTCTCATGCAGGCACAGAGCATCACTGAACAACAATCTGCTCTTAGAGTACCCCGGGTTTGTTCAGCATTCACTCGTGTGTAGACAACAGCAGAATATCCGGCTTCATTGGCTCAGGATGATTAGTGTCGTGAGCTGGACATTTGGTGAAGCGTACAACAAACTCCTGCGAGGTGACTGGACGAGGCAGGCAGGCAGCGGTGCGGGAGGTCAAGGTCAAGACAGCTGTGCCGGGGGCGCCAGAGGTCACCGGAAGCACAGCTACCGGGCTATCGCAGGTCGCTACTTGGACGGTTTCCTCTGCTGCGCCTGCTGCAGTTGCCTCTGCAGTAGAAGCCTCTGCTGCTGCTGCGTCAGCGACAGCCTTCCGGTCGGTACCTGCACCACCGAGAAACTCGGCCCTCCCTGCGTCTGGCTCGAGAGGATCACCTGTTGACCCGTGCTGCCGCTCGATGGCTCCGCTTTGAGGTACACCTGCTGCGCGCCCCCGCCAGCCGCCTGGGTGGTCAGGATGACCTGCTGACCCCCGGCTCCCGCCTGAGTGGTGAGGATCATCTGCTGGCCCCCGGCGCCCGACTCGGTCTTTAGGTACACCTGCTGACCCGCCGCTCCCCCCGCCTGGGAGGTAACCAACACGGGTCCGGCTGCGCGGCGACCGGCGACCGCTGAGAGTACCTGGAACTGCGCCGGGCGCTGCAGGCCCACACTGGCCCCCACCGGTGAAGGTAGCGGCGCGGGTGATACCGACTGCCGCGGAGAAGGCGCCGGCCGCAGAGTCTGCGCAGGGGACGGAGGGGAGGTAAGCAGCACGCGCGGGGCGGAGGTCGCAGGAGCTCCACCGACGTTGATGGAAATCGGCGCGCTCATTCCTGGGATCGACACCTGCACGTTGTGGAGACCGGGAATCGTCTGCAGACCTTGCTGGAGATGTTGCAGATTTGTTACATTCACACCGTCAGAGAGTAGGTTACGGATGTTGACGTTAGGCGGAGGTTCAGACTTTTGGAGCAGTCTCGGTGGAGGAGGCGGTGGCGGCGGCGGCGCGGGCTGCGGTTGTACCATCACAGGCTGAGGCTGCGGGGGAGGCTGCGGCTGCTGCTGCTGCGGCGGCTGCGGCGCCGACTGACCGTCCGCCCCGTCAGAGTTGAGCAGACTGTCCAGGTTCTCCAGCTCCGCCAGCAGGTCCCCGCTCTGTACCAGCTGCAGCGCCGTGCTGAGCAGATCCCCGCCGGCCCCCGACACAGCCTGAGGCGGCGGCTGGCTCGGCGCGGCGGGCGGCGGGACCGGGAGACTCTGCGGCACTGCCGGCTGGACGGGCACAGGCGCCGGGGACGGCACTGGACCGGCAGCCGGCACAGAAACGGGCCTCCCCGCCGCCGGTGGAGCGTTCAGTAGCTCGGTCAGGGTCGGATTCTGCCGCTCCACGCGAGTGACCAGATCCGGCCGCGTCGCCGCCGGGTTCGGTACCCGAAATGAGAGCGGTAGCAGCTTCGTACCCGAACCCGTGACCACCGCAGCCGCCGATACTGGCGCTGACGAGGCCACCAGTTTCTCCAGCAGACTGGGACCGACTCCCGCTCCTGCCGCCGGGTTATCAGCGGAAGGTGTATCAGCCAGCAGAGCCTGCAGCCCGGTGGGAGCCTGACGCACCGGCGCCGCGGTGGGAGCGGGAGCGGGGGCGGCGAGACGAGCGGTAGGTAACACCTGCTGTGGAAGAGTCACCTGGATGTGCTGCAACTGACTCTGTAGTAGCTGAGTCATCTGCGTGTTCTGAGCCGACACCTTGATCTGGATAGTCTGAGGCGCGGACACCACCGCCGCCACAGAGCCCTGAGGAGGTAGCGCGGGCGTGGCCGGCTTGTGTGTGGCCACTCGCGCCTGGCCGAGCGCCTGCGCCATCTGGGCGGCCAGCGGCGCCGCGCGGGCCGCCAGCTGGGGCGGGGTGCGCAGCTGTGCCGCCAGCGCCGGGGTGCTACTCCGGGCCAGCGCTACTCTCTGCTGCTGCTGAGCGGCCAGCAGCACCGGCGCGGCAGAGTGAGCCGCCGACGGGAGAGACGTCTGCGACTCTCTCCGCTCGCGCGCGCCGCGAGTCAGCGTCACCCGCGGCGGCTGCCCAACCGCCTGGTGTGTCAGTTTAGCGCTCTTCTTGCCGTACTCGGTGAAGATCTCGATGCACTGTTTGACGTACAGATCTGCGGCCGCGCGACAGCAGAGCGGGAAACGACAGCACGCGCCGCCGCGCCGCCCCTCCTTATAATCACGATCCACATACAACTGTCCGTGATAGGAATCATCCGACGGCCGGAGGTACACGGAGAGCTTCATATGCATCACCCGTCCGCCGCCCCGATCCCACTCCACAGCGTTATCTTCTCGGAGGTGCAGCGACGCGTCCCTGCTCGGTTCAGCAGGGAACTCCTGCCGCCTCGCGCGCTGCCGCACCTCCACTGCCGCCGAGGGGGGCGCCGTCACCACCGGGAGGTCACTGATGGGCGGAAAGCAGCGCGCGCGTTTGGCGGGCGGCGCACCCAGGCGGCCCTTGTCTCGGAGGAACTGGTGTAGCCGCAGAGGGCCGGGTGGGGGAGGCAGCTCGGTGGCACGCCGCCGGCGAGCGGCCGCCGGCTGGCTGCGTCTCTCGGCGGCCCGCCGCAGCGCCGGCGAGTCCAGAGCTCGGTGTGACCACTGCTGGTGGTTGGTGACGAGTCCGACGGCCGGAGATGGGTCCAGGCAGAGCGCCGGGGCGGTGGCCAGCGCGATCCGCGCCTCGATCTGTACCCGCTCCTCGTGTGTGAATTCCCCCTCGGCGAAGATACGGTTCAGATCGGCCAGAATTGTCCGCTGACTGGGCCGCAGGAGAACATACGTTGACGTGCACAGCTCGGGAGACACCGAGCGTCGAAAATCACGCACTTCGGCCACCACGCAGCCAGCCACAAACACCCGACACCCGCTCTGGTCGAGAAGCTCCAACAGCTCACAGGGCAGCTCCTCGTTGTCCAGACACCTCAGCAGCTCCCGCTCCTCGTACCGCAGTCGGAAGGACTCAGCCTCGGAGCCGTCCGGCGCGCGGAGGGCCAGCGAGTAGCCCTCATCCCCCGGATAGAGGTTCACTCGCAGCACACTGAGCCGCTCGCGCTCGGCTAGCACGGCGAGCAGGGGACGTCCGTCCGCTTCGTCGGAGTCGTCTTCGTCGCGCCGGCGACGTCGCCGTTCGGACCAGAGCCGGCTGAGTCGGCCGGCGATGGAGAACCGGCGGCGCGCGGGCAGGGGCAGGCCGGCGCGGGCCTCCTCCAGGGCGCGCTCCGCCTTGGCACTGACGTCCTCCTCGCAGTACATTGTGGTGGCTGTCTCAGTGCAGAGTCGGGTGGTCAGATAGTTCTGCGGAGTACTGGCGATCCTGTGGGTGGAAAGGGTCATCATCAGAAATGAGTCTGTGATTGGACTTCCAGGACTAGGAGATTAATGGCAGAAATATTTGTAAGGAACATAAACTTGTTAATGAAGCAGAAATGCTCTAAGGATTTTATAAACTCCCTAGAATAGCAAGTAATATGTTGCAAGTAATATTCCAAGCAAGTAATATTGACTACATTCCTAAACTTAAAGTTGTATGTTAATGTAAATGGACAAATAAATGGAAGAGCACTTTTGTAAGACAAGACCAGAACACCACGTCCACAACAGCTCAAACTCAACTTGTCCTGTAATCATTAGCGTCGCCACGGGGGGGGCAAGCGGGGCAGCTTGCCCCCCAACCTCGGACCGGGCACCCCCTGAGATCGATACAGATCCGATGAGATTTTGGAGTCGGGAAAAAATGGGGGTACCTTTCTGAGAATGCCTGTGAGGTCAGACTCGGTTTGAGCGTGCAGTTCAAACCATAGTCTGACTCGCAGTCTCCAAAATCTTCAAGACTCCGAGTCCAGACTCGGAAATGTCAATGCTGTGATTCATTACATGTTCCTAGTTCGTTCTTTATTACATTTTACAGCTGATTTTCATAAGTTTTGGAGTGCTGACACAATTTTCGTTCAAAGCGTGAAACGCAATCTTCGGGCCTTTCTCAACTCGTCAAATGTCTGCGACAGGCTCAAGTACCTACCGTACAAGTGTCGCAGGGCTCATGAGCTTGCTTTAAACAAAGGCTCCTAAGGAGCTCCAGTGAGCCCTAAAGAAGCTTTCAGAGGGCCCAAACCGGCCTCTGAAAGTCCCACTGGTGTTCATGTTCTCTGAGGGCCCATACAGGGATCTTTGAGCCTTCGAACATTTCTGAGAACCTTAACTGGCCTCTGATAGTTCAGCCAAATTTTTGAGGCGACAGACTTTGCCAACCCCAAGCCGGCATCTGAGGGGTCACAGCCCACGTGTCCCTCTGAGGTCCGCAACACATGTTTATTATGTCCCTACGTAGGGTCCTTAGGGATTCGACACAGACCCCGAGGGTTCACACTGCTATCCGAGGGCTCCAGGCTCACCCTGGGCCTAGTCTCTTAGCGCCCGCCGCCCACACTGCTTCTGAGGGCCCCACCTTGGGCTCGGAAAGCCCTAAAGCACCACGTACACGTAAATATTTGAGGTGACCCACGTCGATCTCCGGGATCCTAAGCAGGCTTCTGAGAGTCAGCACTGACCCTGAGTGGCCTGAAATGGCCTGGAAGTCACAAACCTATCTCTACGGGATCCCTTGCCGATATGCCGTGCGTTACTTTTGGTTCCGTTTAACAGCTTTTGTTCGCGTTTGCAGCACTTCCCTTCACACGAAAAACGAGAAACTTCTGTTCACACTCGAGTGAACAAAACACTTCATCTCACTGAAGCAAAGATGAATTACTTCCGAATTCCGATTCACACTTCCGACATTCACTCTCCGCCGAATGCCCAACTTAGCTACGATCGGCGGCTGGGATAAGTCCTATGCATTTCACGTAAAACCTCTGCACGCATGCGTGAATGGAGGTTTTAGCGAGGTGATCCGATTAAATGGAGCGTTTTTCACCTCTTAATGGGTAATGATCATGAGCGTCGAGCGTCTGCACAGGGGCCCTCTGCAGTGCGTCGGCAATCGCAGCCACTATAATTCTACCAGTCGTTTTGTTATGAAGTTTCAAAATTTCGAATTTTTCTGTAAAAAATTACATGTCATAGCTAGAAGGAAACCTTTGTCACCATCGGATTCCTCGCACCATTGCACGTCGAATGATATGTAAAACGAGTGAGTAAAGACTGGGGAAAGGCAAGTTTTGACACAAAAGTTGATTTTGCCCCCCCCCCCCCAACCGACAATCTCTGGCGACGCCTATGCCTGTAATGATAAGTCCAGTTAGCAAATTCAAAAACTCTTATGGTTAGGGTAAAAAATCAGTATCTACATTCATTCTGTGCCAGTTGCCAATACTATTCATTTTAAATTAGGACTTGTTTTATAAGAATTTATGAAAAAAAAAATGCTACTTCCATTAAAAACGAAAACACTAAACCTCATTTCCAAACATCAATAATCTTTTATGTCATTCCATATTCCTTCCTCAGCTAAACAACAAATTATTGCACTGTCTTAAAACAATAAATATCATTGCATTTTTAAAGTTGCCTACCTGATAACTTACTTTCAGACTAATAAGAGGCATCATGCACTTTAATTTTAATGTTTAATTAGCATGCCACAATTAAGTCATGGACTTTTAGTTTGACAGGTGTTCTGACTTCTGCTATGGTTGCTTGAAATCATACTGCCTCAGAAAATCATCTGCTTTAGAGATACCGCCTTGGAGATACCTACCTAAATCATGCGGTAGTTGTAATGCAGGCATCACACTGGTCATTTCCTCTTTTAGCACCCTCTAAAAACTGGACAAATTAACAAAATATGAACATGAAAGGAAACAACACACCCTTCTAAGCCTAAAAAGTGAGATCACATCTCAATATTTATATTTTTTCCACAAAAAAATTTATAAGTTACACCGAACCACCCATTGATTCAGGTAAAGTGAGGTTATGTTCGGTAAGGCCTGGTAAGGTCAGGTTAGATTAGGTTTTGTTATTACTGCTTGTAGTGTACCTGATTTTTTTCAAGCGTAAATGATTCTTTGAACAATTATCTAGGCTAATATTTTTTACAATATGGCCTGGTTTCTAATTATTTACAAGTCTAGGGTGCAAAAGGAGGATTTCACCATCACACTTGTGTTTTGCAACCAAGGAGAGGCTCTATACCCAGCAATGCTTCCTATCAAACCAAATCAAACCAAAACTGACCTAACCTTACCTACAACCTACCACATAAAACCTACGGCCTACAACCTTACCTACAGCGCTTCTCCGTGGTTGCAAAAAACAAGTGTGACCTGCTTTACCACTACCAAATCATGCTTGGTTACAAAAGGTATTTGGTGAGCATCTAACTAGTTTATTCTACCTCTATTTTAATGGTATGCTCTTCATAGCTCTGAATGAAATCGTGCTAGTTGTTGTGAAGCACCACTGACATCTTTTGCAACATTTTGGGTAGAACTACCGACTTCCAAAAAAAAAAAAAAAAACAGGTAAATGCAGCTGTTGCCTTCGAGACTCGAGCATTACCTATTCGTTTAGCAAAAATTTACTTTGAAATTGAAATTGAAATGTCCTTTCCCATCATGAATTAACAGCAACTTTCGAGCCTACATGATAAGCTCTCTTGATTTAGTTCGCAGATAAAAAGCATGACAGCGATAAAGCATAAAATTTTGGGAAGAAAGATAAAATTACCCACCAATATTTACGACAAAATAAGGAGAAAAATGCATTGAACAATTCCAGCCACCTCGCCCCACATTCTACACAAATTTACAAATCTCACTTTCAATATCTAAAGGTGTGTTCATGACACAACCCCAACAGCAGATGTAGCTTTGAAATCGAGCTAAACCAAATAGGAAAAGGAATGATATATAATTATTTTTAATAAAGCGAGGTGAAAATCATTTTCATGCTCTTGTAGAAAACTTTTTATGTGATATGAAGACACAAAAAATAAAACAATGCAATGCAGTCTATGCTCAACCGTGAAACAATTGCGAAACGTGAACCGTCCCTTAAAAGTATATGTCGCAAAACCACCAAAATCGTAAGGCTTTTTCAGGACGGGAACAAAACTACTAAATAAAAGACGCTAGGCGATATTATAAAACATGATGCTCGCTGAAGGAAAGTAACCGGCCAACAGTTCTATCGATATAATAGGATTTATAAAACCCTTAGTTTAACCCATGTCCGTCAAGACAGCCCATATTCAGCCCAGATTCAGCCCGGATTCAGCCCAGATTCGGGACACCTCCGATCAAGCTGAAACTCGCACACAATGTAGGCCATGACATGCTCAATCCACAGTCCAAGTCATTCGGTGGCACTCTCAGCCGTTTGACCTACAGAGGTCAGCAAAGGTCACGTGGCCAAAATTTGCACAGCAGATTGTGACCCACCCAGTAGAGCTAGAGCGCTAAAAATGGCACCAATCGACTCGCCAGCATCTAATCTTACTTTCCCAACACTCATTTGACCTCTCAAGGTCATGCAATGACCTAAGGTCATTTGTGGGCTATATCGAAAATACACTTGCACAGCAGTTTTCGAGTAGATGGATTGACCGAATTCCAAATCAAAGCACATCATCGGGTAGCCCATAGGCCGTAGTAACTTTCCTTGAAAACCGCTTTTCGATATGTGACCCCGTTTGACCTCGGCAGGTCAAAATGTGCAAATAAACGACACTCAATACGTCGCAGCCCGGATTCAGCCCAGATTCGGGACACCTCCGATCAAGCTGAAACTCGCACACAATGTAGGCCATGACATGCCCAATCCACAGTCCCAGTCATTCGGTGACACTCCCAGCCGTTTGACCTACAGAGGTCAGCAAAGGTCACGTGGCCCAAATTTGCACAGCAGATTGTGACCCACCCAGTAGAGCTAGAGCGCTAAAAATGGCACCAATCGACTCACCAGCATCTAATCTTACTTTCCCAACACTCATTTGACCTCTCAAGGTCATGCGATGACCTAAGGTCATTTGTGAGCTATGTCGAAAATACACTTGCACAGCAGTTTTCGAGCAGATGGATTGACCGAATCCCAAATCAAAGCACATCATCGGGTAGCCCATAGGCCGTAGTAACTTTCCTTGAAAACCGCTTTTCGATATGTGACCCCGTTTGACCTCGGCAGGTCAAAATGTGCAAATAATCATCGACACTCAATACGTTGCAGCCCGGATTCAGCCCAGATTCGGGACACCTCCGATCAAGCTGAAACTCGCACACAATGTAGGCCATGACATGCCCAATCCACAGTCCAAGTCATTCGGTGGCACTCCCAGCCGTTTGACCTACAGAGGTCAGCAAAGGTCACGTGGCCCAAATTTGCACAGCAGATTGTGGCCCACCCAGTAGAGCTAGAGCGCTAAAAATGGCACCAATCGACTCGCCAGCATCTAATCTTACTTTCCCAACACTCATTTGACCTCTCAAGGTCATGCGATGACCTAAGGTCATTTGTGGGCTATATCGAAAATACACTTGCACAGCAGTTTTCGAGTAGATGGATTGACCGAATTCCAAATCAAAGCACATCATCGGATAGCCCATAGGCCGTAGTAACTTTCCTTGAAAACCGCTTTTCGATATGTGACCCCGTTTGACCTCGGCAGGTCAAAATGTGCAAATAAACGACACTCAATACGTCGCAGCCCGGATTCAGCCCAGATTCGGGACACCTCCGATCAAGCTGAAACTCGCACACAATGTAGGCCATGACATGCCCAATCCACAGTCCAAGTCATTCGGTGGCACTCCCAGCCGTTTGACCTACAGAGGTCAGCAAAGGTCACGTGGCCCAAATTTGCACAGCAGATTGTGGCCCACCCAGTAGAGCTAGAGCGCTAAAAATGGCACCAATCGACTCGCCAGCATCTAATCTTACTTTCCCAGCACTCATTTGACCTCTCAAGGTCATGCGATGACCTAAGGTCATTTGTGGGCTATGTCGAAAATACACTTGCACAGCAGTTTTCGAGTAGATGGATTGACCGAATTCCAAATCAGAGCACATCATCGGGTAGCCCATAGGCCGTAGTAACTTTCCTTAAAAACCGCTTTTCGATATGTGACCCTGTTTGACCTCGGCAGGTCAAAATGTGCAAATAATCGACACTCAATACGTCGCAGCCCGGATTCAGCCCAGATTCGGGACACCTCCGATCAAGCTGAAACTCGCACACAATGTAGGCCATGACATGCCCAATCCACAGTCCAAGTCATTCGGTGGCACTCCCAGCCGTTTGACCTACGGAGGTCAGCAAAGGTCACGTGGCCCAAATTTGCACAGCAGATTGTGGCCCACCCAGTAGAGCTAGAGCGCTAAAAATGGCACCAATCGACTCGCCAGCATCTAATCTTACTTTCCCAACACTCATTTGACCTCTCAAGGTCATGCGATGACCTAAGGTCATTTGTGGGCTATGTCGAAAATACACTTGCACAGCAGTTTTTGAGTAGATGGATTGACCGAATTCCAAATCAGAGCACATCATCGGGTAGCCCATAGGCCGTAGTAACTTTCCTTAAAAAGCGCTTTTCGATTTGTGACCCCGTTTGACCTCGGCAGGTCAAAATGTGCAAATAAACGACACTCAATACGTCGCAGCCCGGATTCAGCCCAGATTCGGGACACCTCCGATCAAGCTGAAACTCGCACACAATGTAGGCCATGACATGCTCAATCCACAGTCCAAGTCATTCGGTGGCACTCTCAGCCGTTTGACCTACAGAGGTCAGCAAAGGTCACGTGGCCAAAATTTGCACAGCAGATTGTGACCCACCCAGTAGAGCTAGAGCGCTAACAATGGCACCAATCGACTCGCCAGCATCTAATCTTACTTTCCCAACACTCATTTGACCTCTCAAGGTCATGCGATGACCTAAGGTCATTTGTGGGCTATGTCGAAAATATGGAATTCGGTCAATCCATCTACTCGAAAACTGCTGTGCAAGTGTATTTTCGATATAGCCCACAAATGACCTTAGGTCATCGCATGACCTTGAGAGGTCAAATGAGTGTTGGGAAAGTAAGATTAGATGCTGGAGAGTCGATTGGTGCCATTTTTAGCGCTCTAGCTCTACTGGGTGGGCCACAATCTGCTGTGCAAATTTGGGCCACGTGACCTTTACTGACCTCTCTAGGTCAAACGGCTGGGAGTGTCACCGAATGACTTGGACTGTGGATTGGGCATATCATGGCCTACATTGTGTGCGAGTTTCAGCTTGATCGGAGGTGTCCCGAATCTGGGCTGAATCCGGGCTGCGACGTATTGAGTGTCGATTATTTGCACATTTTGACCTGCCGAGGTCAAACGGGGTCACATATCGAAAAGCGGTTTTAAGGAAAGTTACTACGGCCTATGGGCTACCCGATGATGTGCTCTGATTTGGAATTCGGTCAATCCATCTACTCGAAAACTGCTGTGCAAGTGTATTTTCGACATAGCCCACAAATGACCTTAGGTCATCGCATGACCTTGAGAGGTCAAATGAGTGTTGGTAAAGTAAGAGTAGATGCTGGCGAGTCGATTGGTGCCATTTTTAGCGCTCTAGCTCTACTGGGTGGGCCACAATCCGCTGTGCAAATTTGGGCCACGTGACCTTTGCTGACCTATCTAGGTCAAACGGCTGGGAGTGCCACCGAATGACTTGGACTGTGGATTGGGCATGTCATGGCCTACATTGTGTGCGAGTTTCAGCTTGATCGGAGGTGTCCCGAATCTGGGCTGAATCCGGGCTGCGACGTATTGAGTGTCGTTTATTTGCACATTTTGACCTGCCGAGGTCAAACGGGGTCACATATCGAAAAGCGGTTTTCAAGGAAAGATACTACGGCCCATGGGCTACCCGATGATGTGCTTTGATTTGGAATTCGGTCAATCCATCTACTCGAAAACTGCTGTGCAAGTGTATTTTCGATATAGCCCACAAATGACCTTAGGTCATCGCATGACCTTGAGAGGTCAAATGAGTGTTGGGAAAGTAAGATTAGATGCTGGAGAGTCGATTGGTGCCATTTTTAGCGCTCTAGCTCTACTGGGTGGGCCACAATCTGCTGTGCAAATTTGGGCCACGTGACCTTTACTGACCTCTCTAGGTCAAACGGCTGGGAGTGTCACCGAATGACTTGGACTGTGGATTGGGCATATCATGGCCTACATTGTGTGCGAGTTTCAGCTTGATCGGAGGTGTCCCGAATCTGGGCTGAATCCGGGCTGCGACGTATTGAGTGTCGATTATTTGCACATTTTGACATGCCGAGGTCAAACGGGGTCACATATCGAAAAGCGGTTTTAAGGAAAGTTACTACGGCCTATGGGCTACCCGATGATGTGCTCTGATTTGGAATTCGGTCAATCCATCTACTCGAAAACTGCTGTGCAAGTGTATTTTCGACATAGCCCACAAATGACCTTAGGTCATCGCATGACCTTGAGAGGTCAAATGAGTGTTGGTAAAGTAAGAGTAGATGCTGGCGAGTCGATTGGTGCCATTTTTAGCGCTCTAGCTCTACTGGGTGGGCCACAATCCGCTGTGCAAATTTGGGCCACGTGACCTTTGCTGACCTATCTAGGTCAAACGGCTGGGAGTGCCACCGAATGACTTGGACTGTGGATTGGGCATGTCATGGCCTACATTGTGTGCGAGTTTCAGCTTGATCGGAGGTGTCCCGAATCTGGGCTGAATCCGGGCTGCGACGTATTGAGTGTCGTTTATTTGCACATTTTGACCTGCCGAGGTCAAACGGGGTCACATATCGAAAAGCGGTTTTCAAGGAAAGATACTACGGCCCATGGGCTACCCGATGATGTGCTTTGATTTGGAATTCGGTCAATCCATCTACTCGAAAACTGCTGTGCAAGTGTATTTTCGATATAGCCCACAAATGACCTTAGGTCATCGCATGACCTTGAGAGGTCAAATGAGTGTTGGTAAAGTAAGAGTAGATGCTGGCGAGTCGATTGGTGCCATTTTTAGCGCTCTAGCTCTACTGGGTGGGCCACAATCTGCTGTGCAAATTTGGGCCACGTGACCTTTGCTGACCTCTGTAGGTCAAACGGCTGGGAGTGCCACCGAATGACTTGGACTGTGGATTGGGCATGTCATGGCCTACATTGTGTGCGAGTTTCAGCTTGATCGGAGGTGTCCCGAATCTGGGCTGAATCCGGGCTGAATCTGGGCTGAATATGGGCTGTCTTGATCAACATAGTTTAACCCTCGCCGGCACAGGCCATTTTGCGTCCTTCGACGGCACAAGGGGGGGGGGGTTGGTACGACCCCCCTCGCGTTTGGCCCCTGATCGAGCTAGAGCTTCGCGGAAAAAAACGAGCGTGTTGCCCGTCACAAGAGGAAGCCGATGATACCCAATTTTAAGGTCCGAGGTCATCGAGTGACCTTCCAGGTCAGGTCAATGACCCGAAAACCGGGAAAATCGGGACCTGTTAGAAAGTCGTAAAGTGTGGCTGCTATGTGGTTTTCCGGGGTGCCGATCACGAATATCGCGTACCGGGACGGCTGGGACCACTTCTGCGCCTGCCATCTATCGGGCAGTGTTTGGAACTACAGCGGGCGCCGGCCGGCCGCGCCGCGCGGCGCCGTTACCGGGCTATGGAGGCGAATGAAGTGGTATAAAACCAGACGAATTTTACGCTTGTAAAGCAAAAAACGAAAAATGTACACTCACCACAGTGTTCAGCAAAGTACTGGGAACAATATGGATATAATTTAAAGCTAGTACGATGCGAACTGTTGGTTCCCTAGAGCAGTATTTACATACTTGTAGGAGATAGGACTTTAACATTACGGGAGCTTCTAAACTGCGCTCGCAAAGTACTTGATTGTAAATATTTTCATTTAGAGGCAAAAATCTAAAAATGTACAGTCAGAGCGTTGTTCCCAATGCTTCTAGGTACACAATGAGCATAAATTTAGCTCGAAATGTCATCACACATTGGTTCCCAGTCCAGTTTAAAACGACACTTTGTGCCGCAGAGCCTATCTCTTCCAATGGATAGCGGCTGGGTGGCGGTTGTAGTGGTGGACAAGACAATTCTTGAGTGAAATGAAATCATTTGCTTTCAAAGAATGAATTTGAAGAACTTGTAATAATTGACAAAAGATCGTTAATTACAGTGTATAATTTCAAGTTCATGGCAAATGAAAATATTTTAAACAATGCTAGTGAACCCCAGTACCGCCGCGCGAGAAAGCAAGTACTCGACGCACGGTCTGCCCGCCACTTCTGAAAATGGTCCGCGGCCGGCCGGCCGCGACCCGACACGGTGTTAGTTTTGATCAGAGATGATGTCTAAGCATTTAGACCAGGTTGGGTCAGGTTAGGTCAGGTCAACCGGTAGGGGTTGTGACGGGTATTCGTAATACGTGTCAACCGCCTCTGAGAGTTTCGTAACATGTTACGAAGGCACCAATACTACTTCGTAAATGTTCAAATGGTTGATAAATTCGAATTCAGCTCCAAAAACTAGCCTAGAAACATGTACAACTCGAAAAAGTGAACCGAGGTCACCCGAGGTCACCAAAGGTCAGTGACCTGACCTGACCTTCAGGTGACCTTGACACCCACCCTAATGTATGGGAGCAGCATCAAATCACATGTTTGAACGTTTGAAACCACGAAAAGCGTGCAAACGCGCGGCTAATGCGAGCCGACATACGCCGAATCGCGATTCCAGCCAAACATGACCTCGGAAAAGAGGTCATAGGTCAAAGGTCATTTGGGTCAGGGTCATGAAATTTTTAGGGTAGGTGTAAAATTGATCAATGCGAGGGTACTGAAAGTTTCGTCCTTTTTACGCGAGTTATTCGCGAAAAACCTTAGGGGGTGGGGTTGCATCACCCCCCCCCCCCCTCCCCCTGTGCTGGCGAGGGAAAAGCCCGACTGTGATTTTGCGCGGAACCAGAGTCTATTTTGGAGCCTTCTCCGGAGCCCAATGCGGCTCAATGCTCATTCAATACTCAATAGTGCCATCTCATTCTTCAAACGGAGCGTCCCTAAACCGGAACAGGAACCATAAGTTCAAAATTTCGACCGCTTTTTTTCTGGAACGACGAAAGAATAAAACAATTATTTGTAGCCGGTTTAGGTACTGTTTTTATTAGGCAAATTGCTTGGGGATTTGTCGCTAGTGGCAGCTGCGACGGATGACGGCTTCAAAGCACAAGTCAGCTACCCTAAGTCCCGTCTTTCCCCGCTCTGATCAGATCAGATTCAGTATCTGCCACCCACATTCAGTTTGAGCTTCTTATTTCTGACGATTCAGTGATCAGTCATGTAAAGGTATACGAGTATACTAAATGCAACCTATAGGTAGGCACCTAATCAGAAGGGGATATGCCTCGAGTTTCCGCTGCTACTTGCTCGAGCCAATTAGGTTCGCGATCACTTTAAAGTTTCACGATGGCAAATTTGACACCTACCCGACCAGTTGAGCTATCGAGACCAAGCGTCATCACTTATCACGCTATCACGTCCGATATGATTGAGTAGCATTTGAGTGAGCCATACCACTACCGACTACGCAAACGACTACGAGGTACTTTCGAGCGAACCGAACCCAACCGAGACTCCGAATTTCAACGCAACGCGGGCTGTGACCGGCCGATCTTAGCGACACAAGACTTTTTTTTAAATAATCCATTTATTGACTTCTTTTTAGAACAACTGTATGCGTACGGCATCACAATAACCAATCACCAAATGGTGCGAGAATGAGAAATCAGGGTAGACAATCACACACATCCTTTGACCCGAAAAAACATGGCAAGAATATTAGGTTCAAAACACAATGTAAAGGAGTGCCTCAGGTACCTAAGCCGAACACCGAAAAAATTACAACCTGCAGCTCTGTCAACCGAAGTTAGACGACAGGTTACCACTAACCGAAGCCAATTCTGTCGAGCGAATCGACCCGTTCCCGCATTTCACTCGGTCATGCGCTTTCAGCTCATAAGACTGATGCCATGATTAGCCTTATAGCCCGGGTTCAGCCCATCGGGCCTCGCGCACCTACCTACATGCAGAATAAAACTGCGGAGCACGTGCTATGCGGTACATGAAGTCTAATCTCTCATCGGCGCAGTGCTCTCATAAATGTTTAACAGCTTAGTCACAAAGGATTACATTGGCTATTGTGATTAATATGTGATTAGATTATTAACGTCACAATATCAGGACACAGACAGATGTGATAGCACAGGTAGAGCACCTAGAAAGCTCACCGACAATCTTTTACAAGCAACATTTAGCAATTTTACGACAACGCGTGACACAATGGCTAGGTTAGCGATAGAAATATTAGGATTTAATCGAATGTGAAGCTTCCGGACAGAAAAAAAGCCATTGGCGGTACAAAACATGCGCACCGCATTGACAACAGTGGACGGCAACCGAGACCAAAAGTCCACACTCACAGTAGCGCAAAAATACACATTTCAGCCAGAAATGACTAACTAACCGCTGCTGGCCAATCCAAGATAGGTACCAGCAGTCAGCACGGATCAAAGGTCACCGGCGCCACCGCGCAGTGCGACCTTTTCAGACCTCTTGACACAGCCACGTACCGTGTCTGCGGCCACACCTTCTGAGCTCTGTAATAAGAGCTCTTCAAGCGCCCAAAACAGCACTGTCGGTGTGACACACAGCGCCTGCAAAAATGCAGAAAGAGGAAAGAGGCGACCTCAAGCTGAAGCCTATAACATCACCAGTCGCCAAAGCTCTTCGCTTACGCTTACAGACGATCCACAGCTAAAGCTTGCGACGTTCACAGAAAGCCTGTCCCCTGCGCTGAAGCGTACCGACAAAGTCTAAGGGATTGAAACCGCAATAGAGATACATGAGCTCCATCAAAGCGCCAGCCTTCGCATGCATCAACCTCGCAGTCCAACGCCATGCCTGGAGGCAAAGCGTAGCTTATAAAGCCCCGATGACGTCACTGGCAGAGTGACGTCACAGCACATTGATCGCCTAGAATCTGTATAACAGACGTGGGGGCGAGGAGAGCTGACATTTAGAGAGCCCGTCGTGGCGTTTTAAATCACACTTCTGCATTTTCGGGAAGCTGGTAGAAAGTTTGCAATGAGGTCGATTTCAAAGTGATTTTGAGGAGGCCGCACATGTGGCCAAAATTGGCCTAGTTGTGGGACATGGGCATGGCAATAAAGAGGAAAGTACTGATATGACCTATATGCTACGACAGCCAAAAGACTACTAAAAGTAAATTCGACGAGCTGAATGGTCCATTTGAGGCAATATTTCTTTTTCTCTCTCAAAAGGGTTCACTCTTAATCAAAACAACGGGACATCATCCCTAAACGGTGACGCCAAATACCTGGACACTGTTTCAGGGCCCTGGGCACTGTATACAATGCATACAATGTATACAAGCGCAGTTGCTGTTGCGGCCTTCCTCGGGCTCCTAGTACCAATCTGCCGCCGAACGAAAGGCATTTGTTCCAGTGGTTCAAATAGTAAAGCCAATCCGTACGGGTCCCTGTCCGCATCTACCGCGACGCATTAGTCTAATGAGTTGAATTACTGGCCAATAAAAGTGTTGTTAAAAATGCACGTCGAATAAAGTGGGCCCTGCGCGTTGGTATCTCGGTACAAAAGGTTAAACATGTGTAATAAAGGGTCCCCATAGTGAACTGGCTCAGGTTTAAGTATGGATTGTACAAGTACGTTCTTCAAGGTCCACGGAAAGACATTGGACTGGACCCTTAGGTAGTTAAGGCCCATATTATGTCTGTAAATTTACGCCGTCTAATAAAAATAATGCGTCGAAAGGAGTTGATGCGAATTAGCCAACTGGTTAGGTACGTTACAACAGATCCAAGCTACTGGGTTTCTCTGGTAAGCATTGCTATTTGCTCCTGGGAACTAAGGATGACCTTCAAGGTAGGTTGATGGAAAGCTTGCAATTCGACAGCACCTGCCCCTATAAACAGCCTAAACAATACACGCCTAATCGGTTTGACAGAACCTCAGGCGTGGGCATCAAGGTGCAGGTCGTATCAGCATGGTCAGGTGCCAGGATCACTTTCCCAATTGCGACATCTATTAGGCGACCGCCCTGCTTTTCAGCACTCCTTGTCGCGAGCTGCGATTCGCCAGTGAATCGGATGCCGTAACTATAGCCCTCTTTGCGATTCTCAGCATGCTTGCTTGGTATTTTTTTGCTGTAAGCTCGTCGGCTTTCTTGGTATTGGCCGTTTTAACGACGGCCATCTTGGTAGAGCCATCAACGCGGTCATCTTAGGCAGCCAGCACGCCGGCCATCTTGCTATAGGCGAGCAGTGCCAGCAGCGAAAGCAGAGGCGTCACGGCCTCGAGCATTGCCGACGCCGACGATCGAGAAGACGGAGGGGGAGGGAAGAGAAGCTTGGTCACCTGACCGCAATTCCACTGGAACACGCGAATATTATCGACGGCAACTCTCGCTCCGGTGCGTCCCAGAACTGCCTCAAACGAGAGCCGGTTGCTGCCGGGAGGAAGCGTCAGCGTTGCGGTCGTCCATTGCGTCTCGCTGGCGGTTCTCCAGAGAGTGACTTCATCGTCGTCCACGATCGTAAGCGTGGCATTTTTATCCAGGAGAACATCCACGGCGACACAGCCTTCGGTGGGTACGAACATGCACGGCGTTTGGAGTATACCCAGCTGGCGTTCAGCAGACGATCCCGAGTGACGCACGCTGGCGTAGTGTCTGCGGCCCTCCTCCTGCGAGGTGGTGCGCTCCCAGCTCAAGGTGCGCCCGGTGGGTGTCAGGGTGGCGCCGTACTGGTAGCGGTCACACCAGCCGGCGTCGAAGTTGCAGTGGTGCACGTAGGCAGCCTCGATGGTGACGGTGGTGGTGATGGGCTCGCACGTGGGCACGTTGTTCCAGCTACGTCCGTCACACGTGGCGAAGGCGCTGTTGGTGGTGCGATTCCCCGCCGAGCCGGTGCCGTTCTTCACGTAGTAACCGACATCACACCGGTAGAACGCCTTACCCTGGGGCGAGAGGTCGCTGGTGAAGAGCAGCTGCGCGTTGGCGACCCGCTTGGGCACGCGACACTCCCGCACCGCCTCGCAGTTGGGACTGACGCTGTCGAACTGACAGCGACAGTGGTAGGCGCCAGGCGAGTCGGGTACCGCGATACACGTACCGTTGTTCTTGCAGGGGTTGGCGGCACACGGGTCGGTCTCTCCAGATCTGAGTGGCTCGCACTCGATCTTCGTCTCCGTCTCCGACTCGGCGCCGGCATCGCTAACGGCACGCCAGCCCCGGACGTGTTCCAACCTCTCCGCCGTCGTCGTGGACACGAGCTTCACCTTCGCCGGGCTCTTGGAGGCCAGCCTCCAGCGGCCATCATCTCCAACGTACACGCGCTGCGACGGCGACTGGAACTCCCGTCGGCCATGACTCTGGACTTCCTTCTCCGCCGGTGTCAGGACATCCACGAACGTCGATTCGGGTTCGACAACACGCCATCGCTCGGTGGCACACTGTCCAAACGTGGGCGCCACGCACGACAAACTCAGCGACGGCAGTGGCGTGCGACCCTCATCACAATCGTTCACCTCCCATGCTCCGGCACCGGGAGCCCACGGCTCTCCTTCAAACTCTCCACGTGCGAGGATGTTCCCCGCCTCCGGCCAAGCCTCGTACGCATGCTGCACTTCAGCCGGCTTCTTATTATCAGGCAGTGTTGCTACAACCCAGTTTTTCTGCGCCGCTGCTGATGGCTCCTGTAGAAGAAACTGATCGGGTCGACCGATGTGTCGGTAGGCAACCAGGGAGACGTTGTTGGGTTCGAGGACGTAGGTTCCCACAGCGGAGACCACGGTCAGCTGGTAGGGCGGTACCGTCGATAAGTTGACGTCACCGAAGAAGAGGGTGTTGGTGTCGCACGCGCCTGGAACGAGACGGAGGGGAGGGTTAGACTTCTTGATTGAGAGACGCTTATTCTTGGAGGGAGAGAGCGAAGAAGGGACAGAGTTCTTGAACTTTTAAGAGAGCGGGGACATGAGGGGCGGTCGACCAGCAAAAGCATGGTGAAATATGCAGTAAGTCTGCAAAATAGTGGCTCATCACTGACAAAACTGTCATGAAGCTAAGTAACTTTGTCCCCGAAAAGCAAAGTAGCCATTGATCGGAAGCACATAATGCACTTAGATATGTAGCCAGTTTTAAGCAATTTGACAACGCCAAGAAGTATTCGGCATCATCAGCAGCTACTGGCAGAAGTTTTACCGGATAGTTAGTGAGAGCAATAAGGACAGTTAATTCATGTCGAAGAATTTTGTTACGTAAGCTTTCACAAGGGCATTGGTACGCCGTTTCACCACCTTGCCCTTCTTAGAAGCCACACCTATTCCCTGGGCGGTACGCTGACTGTCTAAGCCGGTAACACACGGTCACCTTGGGGCCATCGACCCGTGGGTTCAGACGCGAAGTGCACGGCCCTATACCAGGACAAACTAAAACACCGGTGGCACAACGAACTAAGTCAACGGAGAATAGCGAACTAAAACACCGAAATGCCTTCCAAAATTTCCCTCTCCCGCCCAGTCAATGGAAAAATGGCACCCTGAGGATCGATCTTAGATCTGAGATTTGACCGAGATTGCCTCGGATATTTTTTTTATAATGATTGTATTGTATATTGTATATTGTATTAGCGAAGCATTCCAATGATGGATTAGTGTCAGCTTCTAGTCAATGACAATAGTAAAAACATATAAAACACAAGCACACACACGCATACACATTGTACTAAATACCAAAACGCTAGTCACATGTCGAGTTTAAAAGTCGTAAAAACTCTGCTCTAGTTCGAGAGCCGGTGGCGGCAGGCGGCAGACGATTCCAGGACGAGGCCGCTCGGTACGACAAGGCCCGGCGCGACATAGACAGCCGGTAAGCCGGCAGCTCCAGTACACCGGCACACGTTGCCCGCGTTGAGCGCTGCGATACAGCGGCTCGCCGAGTGAATAGGGAGCGGATCGCCTCCGGAGCGCAAGGGTCACTCAGCGCCCTGAACACAGTGGAGCAGTCACGGTGGACGACAAGATCAGCAATGTCATGCCAGCCGAGGGCTCTCAAAACCGGTGAAATATGTTCAGAAACCCGCGCTCCGGAGACGACCCTAGCACCAAAATTCAGGATCTTCTGCACCTTATGTAAATGACAGCGAGCGGCCTCGCCCCAGACGGAGAGGCAGTAAAGGATGTGGGGGAAAACATGGCACTGGATAAGGAGCTTACGGGTCTCGGGGGTAAGATGATGACGAATTTTATACCAAACATAGAAGGATGGAATTGCACTTTTTGACAACATTTAAAATGTGCTTTTCCCAGGATAGGGTTGAGTCGACCGTCACTTCCAGCATCTTCACAAAAGGGGATGGTTGTAGTGTGTGACCGGATATGGTAAGGGAAAAGGATGAGGTTTTCTTGAGGTTCTGGCCAGTACCCACAAGAAGCAGGGTGGTCTTACTAGGATTCATTTTCAAGGAATTGGATGTGTAATAGGACTGGACAGCGAGCAAGGTGTCTTCCTGTTGTTTTTTAAGGACAGGTAAGTCAGTGGGAAGAGCGGAATCGAGGAGTTGGGTATCGTCTGCATAGGAAATGAGCCGTCCATGAGGAAGGTAGGAAGGTAGGTCATTTGTGAAGATGCTGAAGAGGATTGGGCCGACCAGGGAGCCCTGCGGAACGCCATGGGACATAGGAAGGGATAGGGAGCCGCCTCTCACCACCTGCCGCCGGCCACCGAGGTAACTCGCGAACCACCCGGGGTCAACACCGTACCAGCTCAACTTGGACAATAAAATACCATGGTCAACACTATCAAAGGCGCGACTGACCAGCTCGCCACTTGACTTGTCATTGTTAAACTTTAGCCGACTTCAAGTGTCCCCCCCCCCCCACAAGGGCCCGCAGCGCCAACTTTTTACGCCGAAACCATGCTCGATTCCATTCAATCGCAATTTACTTAATTGGTGCCACTGCCTTGCGTGAAACACACAACAGCCTACTTCCTTCTGGCACATTGAAATATGAGCAGTCCTTTGAGCTGATATTGATTTTTGCTAAAAACTGGATCGCAATGGACTAAGTTGTCTGGACGTAAGTGACCTAAGGCCATCATCTGAACGGAACCGGGTGAAAAGAAGTTATTCGGCGTGACACAGCAATGTCGCACGACACCGTTCAGCAGGGTGGTTCTGCACAAAAGCCTGTGGTAAATCAATGGGGACCGATCGATCATCGAACGGGCAGGCATCGGTAAAATCCTTTTTGAAAGGATTGCATTCCCAATCCACATTCCCAGTGCCGAAGTGGATTGCATTCCTACCCGCAATCCCCTTTTTTCACTTGGATTGCGATCAAATCCGCAATCCTTTTTTGCAATCCTGTTGTTACGGAGCGAGCGAAGCGAGCGTAGTCTTTCCTTAGATTAACGGAAATTTCTGAGTATGAGCGGCCGGCCGGCCGGCCGTGGTCACGCTTTTGCGAGGCTTATATCTCAGCAACCACTTGACCGATTTACACGCGGTAATTTTTGTAGGGTAGCTTCATTTCTTCTACCAAGTATTGGACTATTCCTGATGCATGTGGGTGACCCCTTATGCACGTGCCACGTGCAAAACGAAGAGGTGTCCGTTTTGTAATTGTCGCAATATCTCGGTAACTACTTGGCCGATTGCGCTGAAAGTTGGCATGTAGGTAGGCACCCACTAGGCACTGCATATACATGTGCCAGAGTTGGGGTGGTGCTGCACGTGCGCACGTGCAGGGGTCGTTTCCAGATCTCGAGAACGGCTCGACCGATTGCGCTCAAATTTGGTACACAGTTAGGGACCGGTTAGTAGGGTGCCGTGCACAAGTCAGTTGGGACCCATTTTGCACGTGCGCACGTGCAGGGTGCCGCTTCCAGATCTCGAGAACGGCTGGGCCGATTGTGCCCAAATTTGGCACGTCGCTAGAGACCGGTTAGTAGGGTGCCGTGCACAAGTCAGTTGGAGGTACCCCCTCGCAATTTCGCACGTGCAAGGCCCACCCTCTCGCTCGCTCCGTTAGTCGCCCCAAAAGGCGTTATACTGGTATTATTATGTGCAATAGTGGATCTGGGGGAGGGAGGAGGGCATAGGGCCGTGCCTCCATCCCATAATCACCCATTTCTAGTACCTAGTCTTGCGAGTAATTCCTATCTAAGGCACAGGTATTTTATGGGAAATATTTTTTGCCTCAAACACCCCCACATTTAAACCTCTACCCAACCAGTGTTTTATATTTTTAAAACTCGCCCTCAAATACGTAATTTTGTCCTGCCTATGTAGTTCATCAGCGTATATTATTTTGAGCGTTTAAAGGGACACTCCCACCTTAACATTAGTTTTGAGTTGAGATAGCCAAATTGGTGGCCATGGCCTGCAAATACCGGTTTGGGCACTCACAACATCGAACAATGCTTTAATTCGAAGATATGGAATTTCAAACTTGCAGTTTTCGGATTCTAAGGGGCTAATGCATTGGAATGCCCCCTTAGAATTTGTGACGTCAGCGGAGATCTAACGATTTTTAAATCTTAGACTAAAACCATCGTTAACACGTGGTGGTATACGCCGCTTTGCGCGCAACGTCTGCCGCACTTTAAGGCTGCCAAATTATTGCTTACAAATAAAGTCGCTAGTAACAGGGGAGATCCCAAAAAGTAAACAAAAGTAAAAGCCTAATATCTTGAAAACCAGTGAATATTTTTCGGTGAAATTTGGTAGATATTCGTTTTCGCTCTTTCTGAACCAAGGGACATCACTTTCATGCCAATTCATTAACTTTTTTGAAGGTGGGAGGGTCCCTTTAAATTAAAAGCGTTTAAATTATTTCAACAAGCTTCGATGTAAAGCCCTTGATAGCAAAGCACATAAAGCCGATGAAGCCGATCTCATAATTTTCAATCGCAACAAACCATTTCAAAGCACTAATCAAACACAATCCGGATTGGATTGCAAAAATTGGAAGTATGATGCAATCCAATCCGCAATCAAATCCTGTTTTTTGGAATGGATTTCAAATCCAGGTGCAATCCACCAAAAAGGAATGCAATCAGGATTTTGCAATCCTGCAATCACAATCCTACCGATGCCTGCGAACGGGTCACGCCTGACGTAGACCGCTCGAGCTGGGGCGTCTTTCGTCCTTTCGGCCGAGTGCTGTGGTGGTACGGACGGTAGGCAGATGTCCCGTCCCGAACGGGTATCGGAGACTCAGGCGCGGATACAAGGGGGGGGCCATGGGGGCCATGGCCCCCCCCTTGGCCGATTTTTTTCAAAAATAAAATAAAAAGTTAAAAAGTTAAAAAGCTGAAAAGGGGGCCTCCTGAAAATAAAGTGGCCGAAATCCGATGAGTTTTTTTTTTTAACCTACCCACTTAGTTATTTCTTAGAAGACTAGCTGAGAAGACTTCTTTGTTAGAAGATTGGTAAAGCTTTTCATAACTTGGAGGTCTCTTATACTCACAGAGATGACCACTTTTACAGGGCCTCCTAACCTGCACAGAGGGCCTCCAAGCCTGCACAGATGTTGAGATGTTGCCTGAACAGCTAGATAAGCTCAATAGACGCAGTTTTTTTTTGGGGGGGGGGCCAACAAGTGGGAAGATGGGGCCTCCAACAGGTGGGATTATGGGGGGGCCTCCTGGTTTCTAATGGCCCCTCCCTTGGAGATTTTCTGGATCCGCCCCTGCGGGAGACTAAAGTGGTCATTCATTCCGAGCCCACATATACATAAGGAGATAACAAGATATGTTACATCGACACTTGCCATTCTATCTTCACTGATCTTTACAGAACGCCTACACATAAACAACCTACTAAATGTCAAATCCATGAACCTGAGTTTTCATTGATAC